TCACTCTCTGCAGAGCACATCGATGCTTTGGCAGACAGTAGCAATCGATCAAAGAGAAATAACTGACTATTCGGTACAGGCATAAGTGGTAAAATGATGGAAACACAGAAAATTAATAAAGTATTAAAGGGGAAAAACTGCTGTAGGGAGGATTTATTAAACACTAGTAAAATAATATACCCAGAGTGGAACAAATCACCAAAAAAAGAGAAAAGTTTTAAAAAAGTGAGACCAAATTCCTGTAGCAAAATATTCTTAAAAGAAATCCATACATTCATATATACATATATGTATGTATATATAATACACACTAGCTTATTTCTAAATGATTCGGATAGTGAAGATTACTCATATGTGACAGTAAGATTTTACATGTTCTTTGAACACACAGAATTCATCTTATATGCTAAAGCTTATATTCCCTTTCAGAGATATTAATTGCTGACTCCTAAAAACTTGAATAAATAAACAAAATTTTGTATAGAAAATTTAAACTTGTTTAAAAAGCAGATAAATTCTCTGAAATTCAAATTCAATTCTGTAAGATCCTATCACACTGTTTTAGCAGTACAGGGGATTTTTTCACATTCCAAGGGAAAACATTTTTTTCATGAAATCAGAATGTTTTGATTCAATGTCATTCCCAAAGCAGATATTTATGTCTATTCATTTAAACACACAAAGGTAGAGCAAGAGAGAGACAAATCCAGGCAGACAATTGATGACTCTTAAACATATTTTTCATGTGGCATTTTGTTAAAAAACTGAGGATAGCATAGACAGAAAAATACAGTGACATATTCACAATTGTGTTAAATAGAGGCAGAAATCTCAATCAAGAAGAAGTAAAACCAGATATAAATATAAGTAAATGTTATTATGGATCATTACTTCAATATTCCTCTAATGGCTTGAGAGGGGTATAATTTTGTCACTAAGTTATAAAAGGCTTCAATCACTTGTTTGTTCCTCAGAGTATAAATAAATGGGTTCAACATGGGGGAGATGGAATTATTCAATAGTATAATTCCCTTATTCATGGTCATGTCATCTTTTGCTGACGGTTTAGTGTAGATAAAAATGCAGCTGCCATAGGAGATCGAAAGCACAATCATGTGGGAAGAGCAGGTGGAAAATGCCTTCTTCCTTTGCTGGGCTGACGGGAACCTCAGGATTGTTCTGATGATATAAATATAGGACAAAATCACACACACAAGAGTCAGGATGAAGATCAGCGCAGAAAAGACAACTACCATCCGCTCTACGAGCCCAGTATCTGAGCATGCGATCTTCATCAAAGGCTGAACATCACAGCCAAAGTGGTCGATGGCATTGGAGTCGCAGAACTCCAAGCCCAGTAACAAAATGTATACTGGGAAAATCAATGACAAAGTCACCATCCAACAGCAGAAGACAAGAATTTTGCAGACCCTGCGGTTCATGATGGTCACATAGTGCAGGGGTTTGCAGATGGCCACGTACCGGTCATAGGACATGACGGTCAGGAGAAAAAATTGTGTTATTGCAAACACATAAATAAAATATAGCTGACTTAGACAAGCACTGTAGGTAATGGTCCTGTCACCTGTTGATAGACTGTATAAGTACCTGGGAATGCAGGCAGAAGTGTATGAAATTTCTAAGAAGGAAAAATTTTGGAGAAAATAGTACATGGCCGTCTTAAGGTGGGAATCCACTAACACGAGGAGGATGATGGTCATGTTCCCTGTTATGCTCAACAAGTAGGCGATGAACAGAAGTATGAAAGTCAGAATCTGCAGTTGCGGGTCATCTGTTAGTCCCAGGAGGATGAAGGTGTTTATGGCTGTGTGGTTTCTCATTCTTGGCTCCTGACTTCCTCTCAGACTGGGTGGGAAACTGAGAGAAATGTGACTGAGGACAAGAGGAAATATTAATGTCTTCACGTGGATTTTAGGTTTGAAAAGTGAAGCCATGTAATTTACTTGACTTAATGATGTTATAGTAAAATCATGCTTTGGGCTTTTTTTTAAGATTTTTTTTGTTTGTTTTGTTTACAGAACTGGGGGTACAGGCCAGAGGTGTAGGGGATGTGACTGGATTCACCAGAGACAGAGTGGGGAGCAGAAGGCGGACTGACAAAGTACACTGCTGAGGGGAGCAGCAGGTGGATCAGGAGAGGCCTTCCGCACCATGTGGGTCAGCTTCCTGGCCAGGGATCAAACTCATGCTGAAGTGGCTTCAGAGAGCTTCATAATTGGTACTTTAACTCATTGCACCACCAGGGAGAGCCCGCTCTGGGGTCTTTTAAATGTCACTTGAGTGATTTGAAATCTTGGATCTCACACATTGTAAGCACAGCACATACTGCAATCAGGTTAATATATGTGCACACGTAATAGGAATAGGAACTCTCTAACTCTTTACAACTGTGAGCAACCAAAATTCCTAATGAATATAATTGTTTCACACTTTATTTTATAGAACAACATAACATCAGAAATGACTCATTTCCATTTTATCATTTTCATTTTAAACATAGAAGCCTGGTACTTTACAAGACCAAGATAATAGAATGATGTATAAAAACACTACCATTAACAAGCAAAATGTACTTACTCTCCTGGAAGACCAAGCTGACTTTCGTTGAATTTGCGTTCATGACCGTCTCAGATGAAAGTGAAAGTTGAGGAGAGTCCATTTATCCATAACTGGCACATCATGGAGCTGTGCACGTATCCACCACATCTTTCAAAATGTACCACAGGTCTCCATGATTCTCTTCCACAGAAAGTATGGGAAATGATGTTTTGTACTAGGGAAAAAACACTTATATCCATTTCTGTATCATTCCAACTTTAGCATATGTTGCCGAAGTGAGCACAAACTCCGGTGAACGCCTGACAGATGTCAGGTGATTTTTATAAGTTTCAAGAAATAATTCCTAATATCTCAGAACATAACATTTACAGAACAATTTAGATCTCTGTCACCTGTCTTTTATGGATGTGCAAGGACATCTGAATGAATAAAGGGCCCTGTATGACCAAAGCGGAAGCATGACTAATAGCTCCAATGAGAACTAAATATTGGCAAAGCCCTACAGAGACACCAGTGGGAGCAGTGTCCTTGGGGACAACACGATGCAGCAACTTTGCCTGATAAGAAAAAAAATCTACCAACTCTTCAACTCAGAATGGAAAGTGTGGGAAAAAGTAAGAAGTGTGACATCAAACTGCCTCATGCCTTGTCCTTTCACAGTTTGGGGTCCAGATGAGGATACTTTGCTGTAACTAGGTCAGTATTCTCAGTCCTCTGGTCTGTACTTGCCATGCAGATCTCCGTGGAGAGACCAGGCTTCATTCTTTGAAGACTGAGGGCAGATTTGAGACACTTTTTAGAATCTGCCCAAGGGCGAATCCCTTAGGCCGAGATAGATTGACCCACGATCCCTGCAGCATCAGGGAAAGACCAGCAACGGCTCATGGATGGCCGTACAGCTGAGCTGAGGGGACCCCTCTGGCCCCTTGGGCCCCTTCCAGGACCTAAGGTTCCCGTGTGGCCAGTGCTAGGATACGGGGACAGTTGTTTCTTTTTATTCAGTTAACTCATTTGCCTTCTCACATCATTGTTAACTGTTGCTTTGGTTCTCACCTCAGGGTTAGTCCCTATAATCACCCACATCCATACTCCTGTGATCCACACCACAGTCCGTCATCCATAAGTGACCAGTCACGGCGCTGTGTGTGTTTCCTCCACATCGCTGAACATTAGTGACAGCAGGTCTCCATGACACCCGCACAGACTCTCTTTGCGGCCCTCTCCCACCGCAAGTCTGGGACACAGCGCCTGTATCTAGGACTAGTATAAAAACACATAGAAAGTTTGACAAGAGTAGGAGATTTTTTTAAGTTCAGAAAGATCATTCCCCATATTTCAAGACATAAATTTCACACAGTGAATTTAGATGCTTTGTCATCATCTTTTATGGACATGCAAGGACCCTCTGGGAGGATAAAGTGCAGACATGATAATGACTCTAAGGAGAAGTGAATGTTGGCAAAGCCCTGCAGGACATCAGAGGATCAGTGTCCTCAGGGACGGTAATACAACAACTTTGCCTCATGAGAAAACAAAATTCTGGCAAGATTTCTACACAGATAAGAATTGAACAAAAAA